CTAAGTCGCCCTTTTAACATCTCTCTCACTTGCTCAAAGGGAGTAATAATCCTTTTCGTTTTCTTCGGTGTAAGTATTTCCACGCTCCTCTGCGATCCGTGTGAGAAACCCATCAAGGAATCACGAGTGAACTGCAGCGATGTGGAGAGGAGACTGCCCCTACCAGGTCCTACAGCTAATAAGAAGACAAAAGCGCTCGTTGCAAGAAGCGAAAGAAGTTCGCCCTTTATGATCATGATGTTCTCTTTGTGCTGCTCAAAACTTTTAAAGTATTGACACTCTTTTGAAAGACTTTTATAGGCTGAGTCTCAGTTAACTTGCTTGAGCATTTGAGGAACCAGTTTACGTGCTTACTTACCTCTGAGCATCTAAGGAACCAGTTTACATGCTACTTACCCTTGAGCATCTGAAGAACCAGTTTACGTGCTTCAATTACAGATTGCTATCGTTAGTTTTTTTGCTTTGTTTTGTTTTGTTTTTTTTTTCCAAAACCGATTGATGCCTATGACTGATGCTTTGCTAGAGTGAATGGGCCCTAGATCCCATAGAGATCTCTAGCATGTCTTTCGTTGATTCAAAGACACCAAGAGTACAAAAAATAAAGAAATGTTAACGTTGTGTACAAACGGCCGACCGCCAAAGCCTAAGATAACCAGTGGAAGCCAATGATGTCCAACTGTTTTGAGAATCCAAGGCCAACAGTGCCGACTGCAATAGTATCTCCCGAACAGCCCGCTACTTCGCGAATGGCAGCGTTGACTTAGATAATTTGTCGTCGGGATTTCTGCTCTCATACCACTCAAATTTTGGTGATTCAACGTTCCTCTTTTAAAGAGGACAGTTGTGAGATGTACAGTGTATACATTTTAAAACGCACGTGCTGAACGATTGATCTGACCCCAAGATCTGTTATTTTGCCATGACCTCGTCGTCGCCGTTGTGTCATGTTACGTCTGCCGTGTTTTCTTCAAATTTTTATTATACCAACGACTTTACAAATTCACGTACAGGTAAAATCTTGAAAGTGTTCGAAAGGTGATGTTTTTATTGTGCAATATCTAATAACAACCCAACGAATCGGAGATGAACAAATGGTACATATCTAACAAACTGCGAGGCGGCGAGGTTATTTCCCTCCCAGCTAATCCCTGGGATGTCACGCAAATCTTTCGTATGACAATTGTTGCGTTACATCCTATATCCTGCCGCCTGACGCTTTACAAGACATTTATGACTTTCGTATTTCTGGCTCGTTTTCCAAATGCTTATGTAATTATACGACGTTTGATCACACTGAGAACTGGGTCTAAGGTACAAGAACATCGATTAGCTTATGATAAAAAATTAAAACAATACAAAACAAAACAAAAAAAAAAACTGTTTTTTATCGTGATCATGAAACAGGAATTGAACGATTAACTTGTTCGTGTGCTTTGTAACAAACGAGTGTGTTCTTACGCCTCCTGTTCTTGGTCGAGAACTACAGCAGAGGGTAAAATGGCTCAGTTGGCTTCAAACTATTTCATGCATCTTAATTACACCACATAAATTTTATAGACTTACGTATCAGCTACGGCGGAATCAAGGTTTTGTATACTACGTGCATTAGGCACGTTCGACGTTCTATCAATGCTTCCTTGTTTGATGACCATTTTAAAAAAATTCATTCTCAAATTACAGGATGAGTTCTCGCGACACTTGCCTCGTTTTAGCCTGCTTCCGTCTCTCAAATTTGATGCTTACAGCTGGCTGTGGGCCGAAATTAAGTGAAGTCTAATTTTATAATTTTTTATACTTTTTTTCTTTAAATATTATTATCACTGCCATCATTATCATCAGTATTGTTATTATTGTTTTTAGTAATACTATTCTTATTTTTTCCACGCTTCGAAACGCGACATACATACGTATATCAAAAAACAAAATCAAATTATCCTTTAAAGCCTTGGCTACAAGGGTATAAATAATACAACTATTGCCCGAAATTTTTTCACAAAAAAACCGAACACCTTTATTCAAACCCGTTATTTTGCTTTTACGACTCAAATGATATGATTAAGTAATGTAATGAGAAATCACACTTCCAGCAATGCAATACGTATTAGTAACCTCAATAGAACCATCCCCACAGGTAAGACGATCGAGTTAAGCCAGAAAAAAATAATGTCCATGGTTCAACTATAACTCACAGCTTACTCATAGAATAGCAAGCATCGTGGATACATTGTCATTTTCCGTCGAAATCTAGAGGTAAAACATTACGGACATTTTTGTGAAAGAGAGAACTTCATTTACACTAGCTTGAGACAAACATGTCGAAAACAGTGCTATCGAAATGATCGATATTGCTTTTGACGAATCAATAATGAAGCATCGTAAAATGCTTCTAGTCATGAAAGGATTTATTTGAAAGCCAAATTGGCGATGCCATAAAATGAAGAAAAAAGCAGATGGACCACCCTAAAACCACTAAATGACATTTAGAGAGGAATGAAAACATAGTTGGAAAACTAATGAATTAATCATTATTGTTGGGGTTAATGTAATCCGGCACTGACCTTGAGACATTATGATTGTTTCAGGGATTAATTAATTAATTAAATTTATGACTAATTAAATGCTTGATTGATGGCAGAGGGGTATTCAACCGAATGTCGAGAAATTTGATCCGGGATTGCTTTGCTTTTGCTTTGCTTGAGTCGCTCTGTGATTGGTCCTGAATACACGCTCACTTTTTCACCCAATCAGAAGCAAAAGTAAAACCAATCACCAATTGGTCTTTCTCGTTTTCCCGCGAGTTTTATTTAGAGTTCTCATTGGCTCTTGAAAGTATTTTTAATTCTTCCGATTACTTTGGTTTGGTTTTGAGACACTCAATCGAAATGCGCTTAACAAATGGTCCACTGACTGACTGAAAGACTGAAAGTCTGAAGGAATAAATAAATGAATATCTGAACGACTGAAAGACGTAATAGAATGACAGAGTCATTGAGTGACTAAATGACTAAATGGAGTGAGTGACTGATCATGAATAACTAATCATGAATGACTGACGAACTAGATGATTGATCATGAATAACTGGATGACTGACCGACCGACTGATTGGTGAAAAAATTTAGTAACTTTACTTACTGATTAAAGCGGTTTCAGCTGTAGGTTCCCAACAGATTATGCTAAAAACTTACATCAGGAGACAGTAAACGTTTCCGTTATGCAGAAGGCGAATTGCATCAGCCTCACACATTTGTTCAACGTATTAGCATGAATCTGTTCTCTCTTTGCACAGGCGTATTTCAACAACGTGCTTCGAATTTGAATGAACTATCAAATATTGCTTTTGGGTTTGTTCCTTTTTCTTGGAACAACTTCAGTGTCCGCCAAGCCAAGACAAAGGAGAGCAGACGAGGTATTAAATCGGCTGCAGCTTCTCTCAGATGAGGTGAATGAATATTTAAGATAAATTATATATTATTTCTCATCAAGGTGGGGAAAAAATTATTCTTAGGGTCTCGAATAGTAATAAATCCTGATATAAGTAATAGAGAGGGGTTATTCGCAGAATAAGGCAAAGATAAGTGAAAAAGAACTTTGTTCACACGAGAGTGATAAAAAATATCGTATCAAAGGTCCAGTAAATACCCTTCTTTTGAAACTAAGGTATTTGGCATTTGAGAGGGAGGGTGGGGGACAGAATATTACAAGGTCTAAACCTGTGCTGGAACAACTGTCTTGCCCTTCCCTTCCCGCCCGCACCATTTTCTATACTTCGTAGCTATGTTTTCTTTATATGAAAGAGAAAAGTATACTTTGAGATGTTTAATCATTGAATTTTCATGTTAGGAATTGCAGGCGAAAGAAATCAGTTCCCATATAGAAAATGAAGCACAAAGTACTAAACGAGAGCCTCGACCGAGATGTAGCGTTGGTCATTTTTATGGAAAAAAATGTAACTCTGGAAGAAGATAATTTAAAAATTTGAAACAAACTAATTTAATGATTTACTTTCTTTACTTTCTCCTGAGTCTCTTGCGTTAAGACAAAGTTTCAACAAGAAGGGGTCATGTTTCAAATCACATTCGTAAACGTCGAACTTATGAAAGACTTCGACTTCACCACACGATCATGCAGGTGTCATGTGATTTGGCACATAATCGCTAACTCGTCCCAGTCGGCGTTTCCATAACGCGCGCGAGTAAGGTAGACCTATTCTTGTTCCCCTCCCATGATCTCTTTCTTTCCCCTCCTCCCTCTTTCCCATTACCCTCGCACTACGTACTCTATTAAGACAAACCTTAAACCTCTACGGCAGCCATTGTTAGCTCTTGTCACGCAATTCGCTCAAAGATGAGGTGACAACTTTACTTACAAACCATTAACTTATTTCGCAAAACGTCAGGCATGTGTAATGACATTACGTTTGACTGGCCGCATCGATTTTCGCATACAGTTTTGAAGAAGAAATCAGCCCTATTAGGAGTGATATGCGAGAGAATTGAAACCGTCCTAGAAATCTGTGAAAAAAAACAAGAGCAGTGAAAGGAAACTCTAGACTTACCAAGCACAAGGGTTACTTAAAACGGGTATCCTGTAAATTTATCACTTTGTTTTTCTCATTTTGAGCTTTCTTATGACATTTCCTCGGATTTACAACGCCGTAACTGACTGACATGTGTGACTGTTTATGACTGCTGTAAGACAACTTGACTCTGAAGCCTCAAAATAAACCACCTCTTTTTTTATTAATCTTCAAGACTAAAAAATTAATCAGGTACATGACGTTAGAGCTAAAATCTCATTGCTGTTATTGCTGTTACAGACTATGCGAAATAACCTACTGATAAAATTCTTATTTTTCTCGAAAGCTGTGCCTCTATAGCTAATCAATGATAATCCTTGTGATCTCTTGAAAGTCTCTTGAATTCACTCGGTCGCCTAAAATTTTAGTAGAATATTATGAATTTGTGGCAACGGAATAACAGATTGATCCACAAATCTCTGCTTATGGCACAACAAAAAGACGCACCCCCTGTGAGGCAAGAACTTTAGATGTGCGGCCCTTTACTATCAAGAATAAGATGTCGGTCTTGTCCACGTCCTCGGGCCGCGTAGCTCTGGCGCGGACAGATATAATCGCGCAGTGGCCTTTAATGACACGTTTGGATGAAATTTGTGGGCTAATAATCAAACCCATTCGATCTTTCACGACTGTAACGTCAAAATACTCAGTGGCGCCAAAGTTGCAGATCTCAAAATGAACAAACGTGACTCGTCCTAAGGGAAGTGTATAATCATTACTGGCGTATCTTACTCTGAGCAGGGCCCTGGAGGGTTTGATCTTCTGTCGAGAAATTCTCTCAAAAGTGTTGCGGCCACGAGTGATACCACTGAGCCTGAGTTTGAATGGTTGACTCGTGCGAGGCGTAAAACTTGCGGTGAAATGGACGTTGTCAGTTGTCTGCAACGTGACGTCAGTAATCCTAGCTCCTTCAGGGGTAATGAGTTCCAAGCGTAGGGAGCTTGTGTTGAGCCTCTCAGAACCAGCGACAGTGATGAGCATCTTGTTCAGTTTACCTTTAAGAAATACAGAATCACTTGTAATTAATTTGAAGTCCAGAATGGGACGAGTTTTTTTGACCAATCACAGACCGAAATAAAATCCCAGATTACAATTGACACTTACTTAAAAATTGCCCTGATTATATGCGAAACTTACCTGTAACTGGATTGGAAATAGGCACTTCGGTTATCTGTCTCCTGCGTCCCCGCATTGGAATGATGAAATATACTCCGAAGTTGACATTCGTTTCACTGCTTGACTTAGCTTGAAACTCGTGTTCACCCGACACAACTAGGGTCCAGCCTCCTATCTTGGGGCGGTCGATCTGATAGACAGAGACCTGTGACAGACTAAGTTTTTCAGCTGAGATCACGATGTCATCGGGGTCTGTCAAGGTAATGCCTTGCCCTGAAAAAAAGTTTAAAAGCAAATATGCAAAAATTGATACAGTAAGTTTACAGATTATACAAAAAAGAAATAACTAAACAAAAAGATAAACAAGGGTGTTAGAAATAATAAATTGTGACACTCGAAGGTTAAAGAGGTAGGCAGCTAGCAACTTTGTTGATTTTAATATATTTCCATCGATTTCAGTTATTCAATTTAATCCTTCTTAATCTCCAAACAATGAAGATATTAACTAAAAAAAAAAGTCAAACGAAGCCAAAAAAAAAAAAAAAGAAAAAGATTTCTTGCAAAAAGTTTCCTTGTGGCTGTTAGTTGACTATTTGGGAACTACCTCTCCTTTTGTAAAATATGATATGGAAATAGCATCTGTATCCATGCAGTGCAGGCGTCTTATATAGGCGAGTAAACGCTAAGAAGCTAGCGAACGCATTTGCCCCCCCCCCCTCTCCTTCTTCTTGGCCGTCGCTCACCCCCTTGGTACAAATTTCTCTCTCTCCCAGCCTTTTCCTGCTGTAAAAGTCAAAGATAGCAGCCTAAGATCACATTAAGCTTCACCCACTACAACATAGATATAATCAAAAAAATAAAAAGTACAGACCATTTGTTCCCTGGCGTGTGGTGCTTACTGTTATGGTCAATTTTTCAATGGATTCATCAACTGAAAAGTTATATCGACGGGGCGTTGTATTTTTTACGCTTCGCTTCCTCTTGTGTCCTGGGCTTGAACCGATACTAAGAGTACTCGTCCCATCGAGCACACCCGCTGTCAGATTATTAAGCTTTTCCAGTTCTCCGTCTTTTCTAAGAGAAATAGTCTGACCTGAGGTACGCTCGGCGAGATCTTTGAAGGCTGGGTGGAGATGAGTGTAACAGAAACCTACACCAAACAATCGATAAATTCGTGACACTGGTCAACTAATCAATTGATCATTCGATAGATAAGTCAGACAGATTGACTAATCTGTCTGTCAGAAGTTTGTTAGTCAGCCTATCACTCAAATTGGTCAGTCAGACGCTCTATCAGTCTGCTCGTCTGTTGGTCTGTCAGTCTGTTGGACTGCCGGTCCTTTAGTCTGTAAGTCTGTCGTTCTTTCTATCTGTTACTTTGTCGGACTGTCGGTCTGTTGGTCTCTTAGTCTGTCGGTCTGTTAGTCTGTCAAACTGTAGGTCTGTAAATCTGTCAGTCTGCAAAAGACGAGACCTTATCCTCTCTACCGGTTTGTCAGTCAGACATACAGCCTGCTAAATAGTATGCGAACAAGAATGTAAATACTTTAGATCTCTTACCTGTGGTAAGAAAATTAATTGTTACCCCTAACTGATCAGAGCTAGCTAGGAACTGAAGCTCGGCAATTTTTGCGTCCGATGCATCTTTTGGGCCCGCGTCCGTAAAGACGTACATAGGGGATCCCCATTCTGGCCATTGGTAGATTGCTTCCAGCATCCCTGTGAATGTATACTCCGGACAATCCCCACCACCGTTTGCTGTAAGAGCATTAATAGCTTTCACGAACTCACCAGCGTCGCTTTCCTCTTTGACTATGGCGGCCGATTTCACTGCAAAATATTGAAGTGCAAATTTGAATAGTTTGACTTCTTCTGGAATTGGCGAAGGGTCAGAATGATATTCCCCACCCCACCACCCTTGTTTCCCTGTTCGTTTTCGATTACCTTTCAGAAGAACGATCAGTCATTGACAGTAAAGGGCAGTCTCATATCCAGATCTTTCACGGCCAAGCGGTACATTTCAGTTTCAGTTACACGTTAAGATCTGGGTATAAGATTAAATAAAGCCTTTAGGGCCGAATTGCATGGCACTCAAGCGTATTTTAGAGTAAAAAGGTTTTTAAATATTAATCGGGAGGCATGGAGAGAGCTTGAGTGCCTTGATTAGGCAGGCGGGACCATTGCTTGTGAGAGAAGCGAGGGGGGGAGGGGAGGGGGATGTAGGGATGTAGGGATGGAGGATTTTGTTTGACTCTCCCTTTAATTAGATGCTAATTGGCAGTCAATTGTCTATAGTTGTTCCCCTACCCTCCCTTTATACTCTGTTAGCAATGACTGATCTTCCCTCCCTTCACCCTGAAAACCATGCTGTGCCCCCAAAATCCTTCACACCTCCCCTTCCTAATTGAAAAAAGCAAACAAACTGACAAACATAATACAAAAATAAAATGTTTTGTACGCACCAGGGTAGGGGTCGTTAAAAGGCGACAAAATGTATTTCTTCACACTGGAATTACGAGGATAATTTATGATGTCTATGGCGATATTTTTTGCTGCTTGAATTTCTTCACGCATGCTTCCGGTGTTATCAATGGCAAACATCAGTGACACGTCTCCTTGGACAGCCATGAAGCTATCAAACACCGAGGCGCCGAGTTGCCTCCGTAGATCTTGAAGGAAATTGCCTCCTTCCGTTTCAGGGGCGGTTTTGTTCCCTGAGGTGGTTCTCTTGCTTCGCCGCTGTGCCGACGACTTGGTGCTTAAAAGATACATGATCTTGCCCAGAACTTCGCGCGCATATTTGTAGCTCTTACTTCTTATCGCTCGTGCTAGGAGTCCTTTCAATTTATTGAAGGTTTCTTTCCTGTAACGGAATCCTGAAGCCTTTGCTTTAGCGACAGCCCGTTCAATGTCGTTGATGGCCTCGAGGAACTTGTTGGATGGTGATAAGCGCGGTTTGTAAGTCCTGCTTTCCTTTGTATAGGTGATTTCTTCTCGAGTAATGTTTTTTGTTGGGATAGTGAATTCAGGAATGGGTTTAGAGGATCTAGACGGCGTCTTAGGTAATCTGTCTAAAATCTCCGTCAACTGCTCCATGGGGGTAACAATCCTTTTCGTCTTCTTCGGTGTAAGTATTTCCACGCTCCTCTGCGATCCGTGTGAGAAACCCATCAAGGCATCGCGAGTGAACTGCAGCGATGCGGAGAGGAAACTGGCCCTACAAGGTCCTACAGCTAATAAGAAGACAAAAGCGCTCGTTGCAAGAAGCGAAAGAGCTTCGCCCTTTATGATCATGATGTTCTCTTTGTGCTTCTCAAAACTTTTAAATCGTGAACCTTTTTTGAGAGATTTTTATAGGCTAAATTTCAGTTAACTTGCTTGAGCATTTGAGGAACCAGTTTACGTGTTTACTTACCTCTGAGCATCTGAGGAACCAGTTTACGTGCTTCAATTAACGATTGTTATGTTTTTTTTTTTGCTTTGTTTCGTTTTGCTTTTTTTCGAAAAGCGATTGATGCCTTTGACTGATGCTTTGCTAGAGTGAGTGGGCTCTAGATCCCATAGAGATCTATAGCATGTCTTTCGTTGATTCAAGGACACCAAGAGTACATAAGATGTTATGTACAAACGGTTAACCGCCAAAAAAAGCTAACCAGTTGAAAGCAATGATGTCCAACTATTTTGAGAATCCAAGGCCAACAGTGCCGACTGCTGTAGTATCTCGCGAACAGCCCGCTTCTTTGCGAATGGCAGCGTTGAGTTCCAAATGGAAACTTAGATAATTTGCCAGGGCTTTCTGCTCTCACACCACTCAAATTTTGGTGATTTAACGTTCCTCTTTTAAAGAGGACAGTTATGAGATGTACGGTGTACACATTTTAAAACGCACGTGCAGAAGATCTCTTATTTTGCCATGACCTTGTTGCCGTCATTATTGTGTCATGTTACGTCTTCCGTGTTTTCTTCGAAGTTTTATTGTACCCATGACTTTACAAATTCACGTACAGGTAAAATCTTGAAAGTGTTCGAAAGGAGATGTTTTAATCGTGCAATATAAAATAACAACCAAACGAATTGGAGATGAACAAATGGTAGATATTTACCAAACTGCGAGGCGGCTAGGTGATTTCCTTGCCAGGTATTCTCTGGGATGTCACGCAAAGCTTTTGTATGGCAAGTGTTGCGTTACATCCTGCCGCCTGAACCCACAATATCTCCCGATTAAAAACTCGCTTCACGGAAAATTTGTGACTTTTTTATTTCTGGCTCGTTTTCCAAATGCTTATGTATGTATACGACGTTTGATCACACTGAGAACTGGGTCTAAGGCACAAGAACATCGATTAGATGAGGGTAAAAAATGAAAACAATACAAAACAAAACAAATATTTTTAATCTTAGCCATGGAAGAGGACTTGGACGATTTACGCGTTCTAGGATAGTGTCGTGATCTTGCCTAGATTCCGGCCAGCAGTTATCACAGGCCACCATATACAAAAATTGGGCAGCTAATAATTGTTCACTTGCATGTGATTTGGTTTCCTTAGTTTAGTTCTGTTCCATGTGCTTTGTAATGAACTTGTTAGTTCTTACGCCTCCTCTTCTTGACCGAGAACCACAGCATAGGGTAAAATGGCTCAATTGGCTTCAAACCATTCGTCATGTACCTTATTTACACCACATAAAATCTATGAACTTACGTATCAGCTAAGGTGGAATCAATGTTCTGTTTCAGCGTAAAACTACGTGTAGCAGGCACGTTCGACTATCCATTAGTGCTTACTTGTTTTGATGGCCATTTTAAGAAAATTCATTCTCAAATTACGGGATGAGTTCTCGTGACACCTGTGTTACTTTGCTTCAGCCTGCTTCCTTCTCTCAAATTTGATGCTTACAGCTGGCTGTAGTCCAAAATCCAATTTTAGAATATTTTATATACATTCTTTTTTTAAATATTGTTATCATTGCCATCATTATCATCAGTATTGTTATTATTGTTTTTAGTAATACTATTATTTTTTTTCCAAGCTTCGAAACGCGACATACATACGAACATCAAAAAACAAAATCAAATTATCCTTAAAAGCCTTGGCTACATGGGTATAAACAATACAACTAATGCCCGAAATTTTTGCTCATTTTTGCATTTTTTTGCACCAAACACCTTCAGCCAAACCTATTATTTTACTGTTATGCCTCAAATGATATGATTAAATTATGTACTGAGAAAGCACACTGCCAGTAATGCAATGCGTACCAGTAACCTCACTAATACCATCCCCACGGATGAGGATAACCAAAGAAATTTAATTCCCAATAAATTTCGACTGAAACAAACTTACTAGCAAGCGTTCTTCTCAACCTGATAAACGCTTTTATTACAGTAATTATCCTTCGAGTACTTTGATTTACAATGTAACAAAAAAAGTAGCGTATAGTTTTCGATCTAACGAGTAAGTCTTTATTTTTGTCTCTCCAATTTAGCTTTTTATGTACTGTCGCTACAAAAATAACCTTGGCCGCTTGATATTGAAAGTCATTTGTCACGTGTTTGGACCCGGGTTTCTAAAATTCGGCCGCCGCTTGTTGCTTCCAGCCGTGGAGGACTGGAACTTAACTTGTGGTATGTGATGCCTAGTTGAGATTGAAAAGAGTCCAGGTTTTCGCGCGGTCAGCTTTATCTGTGACAGCGGTTTATCTTCTGGTTGAAGGAGAACTGAAAAAAAAATCATAAACATATAAATAACAAAAATAGGGATTAGAAAGATGAGTCAAGCTAGAAAAACTAATGGCTATCGTTCAACTATAATACACAGCTTAAATGTTAAATAGCAAGCATCATGGACACATTGTCAACTGAATGAGGGTTATGTGGAATGGTTGTAGCTTTGCCTTCTCTCGCTAACCACAATTCGCTGCCTAGTTTGCTGCCCTTCCCCGCGTTCAAGGTATTTTGTTTCATTTTGAGATTCATTATTAGCTCCTAGTGATATTTTCCGCAGATTTGATTCGCTGCTGCGATTTCCCTGCTTTTCGGCCAGCGACATACTCTTGTGAAGCGCTCCAGACACTGACTAAAAGTAATTTGTACTCTGTGCCACTATATGCTTAAACAGTGGATAGTATTGAAGGCGCGCTCTGATGGGGGACTCTGAGTGGCTACTCAAACTCCGAAAAAAGAGAGCAAAGCGGGGTCCGTATAAAAACGACCAGGCGCCAATATTCCCCGGTACCGCTCGAGCAAGCGCGGTCAGTAAATAGTGTGTTATATGGCATTTGCACTAAACTTGTTTATTTTTAATTTTTCGGCTTTCGAGAGCCAAAATACACGGTTCAAGACCATTTTTACCGGAAAGGTTCGTATGCCAAAATCCTGGCCAAGCAAGAACCAATCAGAACACTCGGATTTACCTCAAGAATGCCTCACCATATAAAAATAAATAATAACAATAATTTATAGACTTATATTGCGCAATCATCAATGTAAGATTTTTCAATTGCGCATTACAATTTAATGTTAAAAATTCAACCCTTCATAGATACATTCAACCCTACATAGATACAAATAAAATTAATAACCTCCGACACAATCTAACCTCGCTCCAGAAGATCCTTACTCAGCTGCACTCCGTGCATATGGCAAAGTTCCACGACATCATTATACTCCTTCATGGTCATCTTTCGGTAGCGATCCACCATCTCCCCCACCCTACCCCCTAGGGTGGATGGAGCCACAGACACTTTTTCTGGCGCAGTTCTCTTTTTCTGTTTGGCTTTTTCTTTTTCTTTCCGTTTTTGTTGTTTTTTCATGCGTCTGTCTTTTATCTGAAATACCACAAAAAAAAAGGTTACATTGTGCCTCTGTATGGTGGCTGAGGGCTGCCAATGAAGAAATAAGTTCTTTACTTTAAATTTTATGTCACTTTATTTTCCATCATACATCTGGACTTCAATGAACCGTGTTCGCGTACATAAAAAGCGACGGATCTTTCAGTATCTCAAAGCGCCGCGCTCAAACAGTGTGCTTCGTGCGCCACTGTTATCGTTATTATCCAGGAACTCCATACTTTTTCTCACAAACCGAACGGTAACGGCAAAGAATGCCACAACAGCAATACCTTGTGCCAATGTTTTCATTGCACAATTAGAAGAAGGGTATTATGACCAAGAGTATAACTAAATCGCCACTTTAGAAGAGGCATACTGATGACGTTTTCTGACGGTCTCAATGAGGTGATGGCTTTTATGGCTAATGGTTAACATCTTTCCGTTGTTTCCACTAGAAATGTTTTTTACGGTTACCTTTTTTTACGAATAACGGTTAAAATTTGTAAATTTTTACGCCTAGCGACTAAATTTTGTGGCCGTTTTACTGCTATCGGTTAACCCCATTGAGGACCTCTTTTCTGTCTATGGGACAGGACGAAAGACAAAATTGAAGAATTCGCAAGACAATAATATGTCAAACCCGGTAAACGTTCCCTTTCTGTATGACAGAAAGCACTGAGAATGGTCATTACCCCCGCAATGCATCCTGGTGGAGCGTGACCCTATAAGTTTAGTTCGCATGATTAGATACATGTAAGTCTTTTATATTGGATAACAAGATTCATCGTCGACTTCTCCATCATTTGAGGGCAATAAATTGAGTGAAAAAAACAACAACCAGACTAACAAGGATTAATAATATGATCAAGTAAGAGCAATTTTTAATTAAGTGCCAAAATTAGTCCGGAATGCCTTGTTTTTGCTTTACTTCGCTTTGTGATTGGTCCAGAAAACTCACGCCACTCTCTCAACCAATTAGCTGCAAAACTAAAAACCGACACGACTTGGTCGCCCGCGTTTTCCCGCGCTTTAGGCAGTCGCATTGTTTTTAACCTTGAGCTCTCATTGGCTCTTTAAGGTATTTTCCTTCTTCTTCTGATTGGCTATTATTTTCACTGATTTTGTTCAGATCACATGGTTTTCAGGGGGAATCATTAGTCGTCGTTAACAAAGTATAAAGGGAGGACTATGAAAAAAGAAGGATACTGAGGGTAGGGGTCGGGTCATTTTTACCGAGACACAACCAGAATCCTCAGACACCCGCCACCTCCCCTCCCCTTCCTTCCAGGAGATCAGTCCCATACCTCATCTTGAGTCAACTGGTCCACTTTCTCTGATAACTGAACAGGTGGTATCTCCAACAGGGTGGGTGATAAGCTCTCAATACTTCCACTACTTGAGGGTGACACAGGCCGAGAGCGCCGCAACTGGGGATCAGACCCTGGCCGCTGTGCTATAAAGGCCACTGGTTGTACAGGAGCAGATGAAGGGGTTAAGGGTCTCTGTGGTGAGGATGAGGGTCTTTTTTGAGGGTTGGCTCGTGGTGAGGGTGGTCTTTGAGGTGATGGAGGTCTTTGTGTTCCAGTGCCAGACCATTTTTCGTTAGTGGGGTCATAAGCAGGTTCAGGCTCCTCAAAAATGGTTTCAGGTCTTTTGGAAGTTTTAGTGTTAGCAGTTTGGACAATCTCTGCCACTTGTTTAGTGACCCTTCAAAAGAAATGAAGGTTAAAAATTAATGCACCCAATTTGCCAGTTCATGCCATAATCTCATCTAAATCAAGGCTGTGTAAGGTTATATTTTTATTGTTCTTTATTCCTTTCTTTTTTTTCATTTTTTTTTGCTGTTGTGGAGCCTATGTCACCCAACACCTACGTTTTTGGAATTTTGTTCATATACCTGTGAAATTCAGTGTTGTAACTGACCAGTAACAAGTCACTTTGAGGCCATGACAACTTGCTGACCCCAATATACCACACCACATGTAGATAACTAATAGTGTCAGCCAGTTGGTTTTGGCAAGTTGACATGTCCGCAAAGTGGCCAGGTACTGACCACTGCTTTCTTAGTCTACCTTCCAATACTTGTGTGCTAGGGGACATTCAATGACTTCCAGCCTCTTGACATTAAAGCTTTACACAATAATATTAGAAGTTGAAAGAACATTGTAATATTTGAATATTTGATTTGGTATGATCTGACTGACTGGCCTTATTGAAAAAAAAAAAAATAATACCCAGCCATAACCCAACCCTTTAACTCCCAAGATCTGATGCATAATTCTCCTTCTAGCTTCTAGACATTTCCTTGTAATTTAGTTAAGAGAATTTGGTGTTAGATCACGATAACAACCTCTACCTGATAAGTTTGAGTATTCTCATAACCTGTTTGCTGGATAATGTTATTGGATATTATTGGGAGAAGTTTCATGTTAATCACTAATGGGAGTTAAAGGGTTAATCACATGCAAACCCAAAACCAATTGTAACTTTGTCACTGGTATTTGCTTAAGCTGGCAGCCAGTTACCTCATTCAAAGTGTTTATTTCTTAGTTCTCATTTCCCCTTCTGATATTGTTCTTTGTTTTCATTGGCTATTGCATCTTTGATTTTGTTTGTACAAAACTGTGAATGTCCAATATAAGAGCACTCAAACAAAGCCAAACAGGACAAACCCAAAAAATTGTAACAGCCCTGGATAAGAGCGACAAAAAGTAGTTCAGATTTGCAAATTGAAACAGAATATTGCACATGTATGCCCACCTCTCCTCCAGATACGACTGTCTACCAACTGCCAGTTCTCTGTAGTCTAATGCATCACTGTTATCTCTGTCCAGAGCCAATATCAAATCCTCCAAATCAACATCTGTGAGTGGAATCCGCCATGATCGGATAATGTTCCTGAACTCTTGCCGTGACACCACCCAGTTCTTGTCTTTGTCAGCTTGAGCAAACAGATCCAACAGGCGCATCCTTTTGCGATCTAAGTATTTTTGAATGATTGCTAAGGCAGCTGGGGAGGGATGGTGAATGGTAGGTACCCCCCTGTCTTCACCAGTTACTGTTGTGTCCTCTTCAGTCTCTGGGGGAGGAGTGGGAGCCTGGTGAGTAACAAAATGAAAATTTAATACAAGAACATGAATGCATTATTACACTGGCATGAGCCTCAAAGATGAGTGATAAAAGGACTTGCGGCAGCTTTAAAATCAGTAAAAGCTGTTTCATAGTATGAACCCACTGTGCCAGTAACTATGGTAGATCCATGATATTAAAAACAATAATCATGCATCAACACAGTAGTTGAAAAAACTGACACAAAGTTTTTCATTTCGTTGGTGGTATAAGTAGGGAGGGGTGATTGACCTCCACAGCCATCCTTTGTTAAAACTTGTATTGAAAATTTGGAGCTCAGCCCAGCCCTGTTTCTACATTTCCTTTAATTCTCCGAGAAATGGTAGAAGTATAGGTAATAACATGATTTCTCTTGCAATTTGGTGTTAATAAGCAGGAGTAAAGTTTTCATAGACAACAAAATTGTACAAGCTGGTGGGGCAAGTTTAATTTTTAGTCTTTGAAAAATTTACAAGTGCTTTTCAACAAATTGCTAGAGAAATCATGTTATTACTTGTTTACATGTATAATGTATCTGAAAAAACATCACGGAAAGCCAAGAAACATGTAGAGGTGGTTGTGCGAGCATAATCTTCATCATTATTAGCCTTTCTGCTCACACTATTACAAGTAGATAACAACTTGTAAGAGCTCAGAATATCCTTGAAGGATCCTCAAAGGTCGTTATGAAGATCTTTGAGGATCTACAACATAGGAAGATTCTTCAAATATTTTCACCAAAAGTAAACAGAATGACTTTTCCATAGATTCCATAATTTTATGTCTGGGCTGCTCCAGAAAAGATGTTTTATTAGAGAAACTGATCTGTTGCATGTTTTTGAATGAATTATCAGCCCTAACAATGTTGCTTGAACAAACTTTCTTTTTTCTCACTAAATTTCTGTGCCTGAGGCTTGACCCACATCCTTATGGCATGTGTTGACTTATTCAGTTTTTGTTCTTAGTTATTCAACAAGGAAAGCTCTCACATGATTTAAAACATATTCTTAAACCCCTCAACTCCCAGGAGTGATTAACAAGTTACTTCTCTCTATAATATCCAAACATTATCCAGCAAACAGGTCATGAGAATATTCAAACTTATCTGGTTGAAGTTGTTATCTCAATGACACCAAATTCTCCTAACTTATTTACAAAGAAATGAGTAGCAGCTAGAGGGGAGAATTAACAATCAGATCGTGGGAGTTAAAGGGTTAAGTAACACACCTTTTTGATTGTAATCTCAGGTTTTCCTTTCAACAGTATTCTTTTCAAAACTCTTCTTTCAAGTTCAGTTTTACCAGTCTTGTTTTTAAGCCAGTCTTGTCTGAGCCCACAGTTGTTTAAAATTTCCCTGGTCTTTTTCCGTTCCTGCAACTGCTTTTTGTATCTTTCAACTTGCCGAGCAAATATGTCATCTTCAGAATCTTGATAAACATTCTTGTCTGAATGGTTTAATAGTCAAAGTAAATTAATCTTTTGGGGAAAAAACTTTCTTATTTTTAGTAATACAGTAATAATTAAGATACTGATATGTTTTGTAAATTCAATGAATCATCAGTGTGAACAAAAATTATGCCATAGCTTCTTCATCTGAGCTAAGTAAAGCCCACTGGGTTGATTTCAGAGATTTAGCTTTAACACTTTACTGGTTTTTATAAAATTCAATTACTCCATAAAGTAATCGACAGACTAGAGCGGATTGGCAAGATTGGCTGGTTCAGATATTTTCCCATATAAACAATCCTACCTGGTTGATGGGATGAACTTTGAAGGCGAATCGTAACTTGAGCATTTCAACTCAGATTTCAAGGGAACACACTAAGATTTTTACCTTAATATGGCACGCAGTAATGATCGTTCACCTGATCAGACACTTACAATGAGGCACCCGTTACTTATCTACAGTCTTTTCTTAAAAAACCGCGTACATCGAGTTCGTAGAAAATTTAATTGCCTTCCTTGAACTTTTTCAAAAAAAAAGCGTGTATGCAGGCACATGTACAGATAATGTTTTTAAAAGCTTCTTTAAAGAAATGATGCATTTATGTGCGTAAGACTGACCAAATATCCTGTATCATCCATGTCCTTACCTTTATCTTCTGTTGTCACATTCACTTCTCTAGCCGCACATTTTATGCTGGGCACAATTATAACTCGTCTTCTACTCAACACCGACGATTCGCCCCATTTCCTAACGTTGTCACGGAATTTCTTCGAAGGTAAGAGAGATTTCGAACCTTTGGCGGTTTAATTCCATACTCTTCGTATTGTTCGGAACCTGCTGCTTTCATATTCATCGGCTACGATACATAGATAACATAAATAAAAGTGCTCCAGGCCCTAAACCTAGACAGTATTTAAGTCAATGTTGTCCGCCATCTTGGAAACTTTATGAGTAACTGTTGTTACGTGTTGCTATGGAGGCTTTGTGTGATCTGTCCCTCCCTCCCCAATATATCACTGTTGTTTAAAGCGCAGGCCTTCTGTTTAGTCCAGCGTCTTCAAGTCAAGACTTCGGAGGATTCTATTAGGGTGCTCTTCGCTAAGTCATGACCTTTTCAAGGAAATAGCATTGAAAAACCGACTTACCTTTTCTTCTTTCAATTTTGAAATCCAAACTAAGATATCGGACTATCTGGAGGTCGAGGGAAATTTTTGATCGATAAGCTTAAGGGTCCACATGGAACTCTGCTTCAGTTCATGCCCTTGAACTAAGCCGCAAGCAGTATTTGAAATGCTAGATAAGCTATAATTGTTTAAAGCCGATGTCGTAAACCAGGGCAGTGGAAAACAGAGTTCATATATGAAAATAAATCTTTCGGCTAATCAATATGTATAGGATTAACAGTTTTTGCTCCGTCGCCATTAAAATCACTGTTTTAATTTAGAGACCTGGCTGTCGCGTCAGCTTACGTTACGTATTTTTTTTTTCAGATAAACATTTATAACCTATCATAGACTCCTTTTATCATCGCAATGACCACAGCAGCCTCTAATTTTTTAAATAGCGGCGGTTATTCGTGGCGCAGCGATATTTGATACCAAGTGCTATTATGGAACGACAATTCATCATTTTTTCACTTAATAACAGTAAGTCAAATTATTTATTTGGTATTGTCGATGTCCGTCCTCGGTTACAAGCACGATATTTCGTACAAACAAACAAACAAACACACAAAATGATTCTAAACAAGATATAATTTAAAAGTAATAATAACAATAATAACAATAATGATAATAACAACATTATTAATAATAATATAATAATAATAATAACTAGTCTATGAGGGTTTTTAAAGTTTGCTGCGTTTGTTCTCCTGTTTGAATCACGATCAAATGTTTCCCTCCTTCAGGCGCCATGATGATTTCATGCTTCTTGGTGCGCACGCGCAGAATTTTCAGATCGTTTCGCGGGTCGGTGTCCCTCACGATCCCGCGTGCAATCCCGCAGAGCGTGTTACACATGGACACATATTGAAGGGTGGTCGAGTTGTCCAGTGTAGACCTGATCGGTTTCCATCCTCGCTAACAATGACAAGTCCTACAACTCCTTTATGAGACTGGATACGTTCCAGCATTTCTTCAACTTCAACTCTTTTCTCGCTCGTCATCTTGTGGTTTGTAAGACTGACTGGAACAACACCCAAGCAAAGTAGTTAAGAAAGAAAAACTGTAAGAATTTGCACATAATAATCGCCTAAAAAATGACGAAACATACAGGCTTCTCAGGTATATTTTCTTGCTCAAACCCTCCGCTGCCAAGTACATTGGAGAAGTCTGGGTGAGAAGAATCGCGTAATGTCGAGCACTTGAAATGTCCGAAATATGAAGAGAAGGTTGAATCAGTGGTTTCAAGACACCATAATGGGCGTTCAGATTAAGGGTATAGAAAATTTAAATCTACTGGTCGACAAGTGTCATGTGCCACATGACACTTGTCGACCAGTAGATCTAAATTTTAAATAACAGTAATAATTAAAATTTGTTTAGTGCAAATAGCAACTCGAGCCTCTTTTTTTTCTCCTTATATACCACAAAATAGTCCGATTCCTAGGGCAATGGCTTCACAAGACGAGAATTATCGTGAAATCTGGCAAAAATAAAAGATGAGAGAACCTTACTGCAGTTTGAGTTGAGAGTTTTTTCATACTTTCATAGGAACTGGACAAACACTGGGGGCGTTTGATGATAAGAACAAAAAATAGATTATCAATCTGCACTATGCTATGAACGTATTTGTGTGATGCTACCATATTATGTCGAGGCCAGCTGTAAAGAAAAAAATCACGTCGATTGAATTTCATTGGGGATCAAAGAATAGCGAATTTTATCACCTTATCTCTTATTCATCCCATTTATTCTATTCTGCTTTCATTTCACAATATAGATCTTGAAATGAATCTTTACTGTATTTTGAAGATGTTTTGGAGCGTACCATTAAATTGTACAGACTCGTTCCGAAGAAAAACAAAGGACAGGTAAATAATTTGATGCCGGCTTCATGAAACATTTAGTGTTCACTTTTGGGCGACTTTTAGTCATTTTGAATTCGATTGAATTTTTTAGATTTTTGGGAAATTTTTGCAGAAAATTCAAAATCTATTCAAACCGATCAGAAATGCTTCCTACTGGGTACCTTAAACAATTTACTAGAAAGACCAAAACAAAAAAATTTAAATACGATTCGATTCTTTAGATCGGCGATCGATCTTTGTGTTTCGCTTTTCTCAAAGGACGTTATCTATCTCAGCCAAAATTAATTTTGACTATCAGATGGTATAAATCAGTATCGTCGGAAAACATCTTGAAAAGTTGCTAAATTTTTTGTTTTTCGTACACACCAAAATGTTAACGGCGCATGCACTGTTAAAATGCCGAAACAAACAGACAGCTCCACCGAGTGAAACGGCGCCATTAACATTCGTTTTCTTGTCATAGGCCTTTAGATGGATAATTATCTAAGAAAATTTGGGGGAAGTAAGCGAAATTTGCCAAAATTATTTAAGAATAGCGTATAGGCATAAACTGGGTCTAGAATTTTAAGGGTTAAGGACAGTGAGGAACGGTTTACGTATATGATTTTAAACATACTAATCTCGTTTTTGAGATAACCTCTACGCGAGGAAATAAAATCTTTACAAACCTGTTGTAATTTCCAGCCTGGCGAAATTAATTTTTCCAAGTAATTTAAGACTATATGTAGAAGCTTATATCTGCGAAAAGAAGGCCGGGAAATCTCTCACTTCGATATGAACAAATCTTTTGAAGCGCAGCCAATGCAGATTACAGCAGATAATCTTAGCAACGGCGGTATTCATTTAGTCAGGCGAATGAAGAATGAATTTGCATGGAAAAATACTGTTATCGAGCGAAAGTCAACTGTTTCATTGTTTTATGACAAAAGGAGCGAAAGAGGGTATTATTGTTAAGACTTAAGTACACACTACATTTAATTTGAGCGTACGTTTCGCTTAAAAAAGTCGCGTATCATTCAGACCGCAGTTATTAGTTTTCACTGAAAAAGCAACCTGACTGTAATAGCAAATCTTATTACATTTATGTCCTGACTGTGAAATTATGTCTTTCGAGTGCTCCATCTTCTCTAAATGTTTCACGATACTATGTGATATCTGTAAACTTTATTTCATTTTATAAAACCGATTCAGAAATTTTTAATGAATTTCAGTTGACAATTAGTATCTTTTCTGAGTTGTTCGCTAATTATATCTATACCGTCTGTATAATAAGAAAATTTTATGAATCATCCTATGAAAGTATCATTAATTATTAATCCCTTGAGATAAAATTGCTTGTTTGTTTGCTTGTTTAGTTTTTCTTTTTTCTTCTCGTGGGATCAGATGGTTGCACACGAATTGAAGAAGGATCCCGGTTTGTCCAGTGCCATAGAAAGACTCATTTGCCGTTGTTTTCGCGAGATTCACAATTAATTGTTATATCATTATTACTTGTTGTCAACGATTTTATCTTTTACATTTCATTGTTTCACTATTTCGTCTTGCAGCAGGAAATCACATGGGGCGAGTCATTCTGAATCCAATCCGATCTGCAGTAAAACGGTTTAATCTTCTCCTTTACGGCTTGTCTTATTTCTCGAATTTTCGAAAGGAAGGATGAAATGATTTCTTATTCCTCTTGTAATACAAACAAGCCAGCAAATGACTAAAGTTACTCTTACTCGCCACAGAGTTACCACTTGTCGATATCTTAGCCCAACTGAAACATCTTAAAGTCCGTCTCTATACTCATTTTGCAGTTAGTGTGAGGACAGACACGCCATAAATGACCCCCAAGGCTCGGTTCATGAGTGAGGCACAATAACAAATTGAAGAGTGTTCTTGGGAAATTATGTAAGCAAGATGAAACGGCTGGAAAATGAGTCCAACGCTAACATCAGTGCATGCAAGATTACTTAACAGACATTTTGATGGTGGATGAAGGAAGAAATCTTGCAGAGAGGGAAAAGAATGAGACCATTTCCCAATGGCTGGCTGCAATGGAAATTACAAAATCACGTAATGAAACAAACTGATAAGCAGACTTCGATCATATACGCCCGTGAAGCAACGAAATTGAACAATTCTGATTTGGTTCGTATTTCCTGTTAGGTTCTCTATGTTAGTTTATTGCAGTTACCACTCTCTCACTGTTGAAGGCGTTGAGAACTCCCTTCTTGAATACTTGAACACCAAACTGAACATCCAAAGAACGAATCTAGTTTCCGAAATGACCAAGCGATTATGTGTAAGTCTCTCTAGCAGTGTAAGACTTTCAAATGCGGAAGGGGGGGTTTCTGTTCAAAAGACAAAAATCTAGTTTAAGCGTTTTCGGTCAATATCATTTATTTTTCTGATAATCTTTTCATATGGTGATTTTCCAATATTTCCTGTGGCTTATTTTTTCATTTTACTTCAACGAAACATAGAGGTAATTTTTTTTCTTTTCAGCTGGCTAATTGCGGTGCTAACATTGTTTTCCCGCACGCTACAGCCTCTTCGTTACAAAGCAGTTTTCATTAATTTTTAAAGTTGTGTTTCCTCTTCAGTTCCTAATCGTATTCATTCCGAGGAAAAATTGATATCGAGCTAAGATTTTCACAAAGATTTTTTAGCCTTGCACTTATGTTTCTTGATAAGTTTAAGAGTACCACCACTCACTCACATATTTTGATGACGTGCAGGCAAACTGACTCTAGCTAATGAGTTCTAAATTTAGGAACACACTCGCGGCAAAATAATTAATTTTTTTGTTATGAATAAGTGGAAACTAGCAGACGAAAGACTATTAAAAGAAAAATGCAAAAAAATTTCAACTAGTGCTATGATAAAAAAAAACAGCAAGAAATCATTCGTTACATGTGGTAATAAACTC